CTATCAAAGGTGCCTCCAGAGTAAACAACAACAAGAGACATACAACACCACATACTTTTAAAAAACAGTTTACATTCATTCCTTTTTTTATTATTATTCCTTGTGGCTATTCTTAACCCACATTAACAAATCTCTTCGGGCCCTTCTGAAAACTGGGCCTTTTGTGGAGAAACCCCATGCACAGTCTCACTTTTGGAACTCAAGTGCAATATGGAGCAGCGTAGGAAGCAAATGGAAATGCTTGTGTAAAACTCATTTTTTCAAAACTGTAAGATTCATACAAATGCTTTCATTCATTCAAAAAAGAAAACAAAAAACCCAAACCCAGCTTTTGGTTTGGACGAAGGCTTCCTCCTTCAAAGCTTACCACACAAGACAGCTTTGTGCCAGATTGGTCAGAAATTTACCAAACTTAAAGTTTTCAGTAGAAGTTTTTCTTTCTCTAAGTTTTATAAATAACAGTATTTAGCACTTCTAGAATCTCTTCTAGCTGCAGATCTCGAAGTACTTAATATATATGAAGCCTCACAAAGCCCTGTGAGATAGATGCATTACATACTACCGTTAATTAGCAGATCATGTAACAGAAGTGGAGAAAGGTTTAAGGAGTCAAACCAAAGCTCCCTTAATGGAGCGTCTCCAAACAGGGCTCTATAATCTGCTTTGCTCTCACTCCATGAAAGAGAGGGAGGGGCAGGACACAGTGCACAGGGCACTGCCAGGTCCTACACAACTGGTCCAACATAGAGCAGTCTTTAGGCTGCTCTCAATTTCTCCGAGGGTCTCAGATCAATCCAGGATCAAGTGGAGCAAAGGGGCTTAGACCCACCTTTCCTACCCCCATCTCCTTTCTTCAGGCATGCAGAGTGTAAACTCAGCATTGCATAGGTTTGAGCCCAAAATTTGTTAGTTTCACGTTTTGTGCAAAATTTTTCAGTCAGTTGTCACCTCATTCACTAGTCCCTTACCCAGTAAGTGAAGATAATTCTTTCAACTCAGTTATGCTTCAGGATAACAGGGCTCTCCTAGTTCTTTTCTCATTATGTCATTAAGCACTGCAAAACTGGGGCTTATACAATACCACCTCAATGTATGAATTGGTATTTAAAGGATATGTATAGCCAATAGTTCAGGGGTTCTCAAACTGGGGGCTGGGACCAATGTCCCCTCTAATCTTTTCCAGAATAAATTTTGTTATATGCACTGATGAATGTGCACCACCAGGAGAAACACAAACCTAGCTGTAAGCGCTCTGTTAACCAGCTGGACGGCATTGGAGTCTCTCCTGAGTAGTTGCACAAGCACACAGCTTACAGGGCACACTGGTTGGAACCCCTCAAAGGGTTGTAAGGTTATTACATGGGAAGCACAAACTGTTAGCCTCCATCCCAAGGCCCTCTTTGCCTCCAGCATTTATTATGGTATTAAACACATAGAAGTGTTTTTAATACGGGGCGGGGGTTGCACTATGCTATGTGAAAGGAGTCACTAATACAAAAGTTTGAGAACCACTGCAATAACTGTTTACTCCCTTTGTATTTATCTTGAGATAAAAACCATCTCTTGAGCATTATTTTTGCCTATTGATACAGTCAGTGCTTTTTTGGTAAGAAAAAGGTGCCGGTACTCTGGGGCAAACTTGTTGAGCAAAACAAAACAAAAACAAAAAACCACGCACTGGGGCCCAAAATGATGTAGCAGCCCCTTTAAGAGCCAAAGGTTCATGCTGGGAGACAGAAAAAAAAACAAAAAACACCGCACATCCCGATCAGACTTCCATCAGGAACCAAGCTACCCCAGCAAAACAAGTGCCAGTACGCGCGGGGGAAATCCCATTCCTTTACTGTGGGTTGGGAAAACAGGTGACGGTACGTCATTCCACGCTGTACCATCAGAAGAAAAGCACTGGATACAGTTCATCTGGATTCTCTACTAGGCCATTACGTGCACTGTTCCCCAACACTCTGGCCTCCACTCCGTAACCTTCCCTGTCTCCTGTACCTGATGTTTTGTTGCATTTGCTTCTTATCCTTAATTACTCTTTGCATGTCATTGTTCCTCCACGTTGGCTTTTTATTTTAAACTCCAGTTGTATTTCATGCTAAATGACAAGCAAAGCCCTTGGGAATACTTTAATTTATTGCTGAATGTTTCCTCGTTCCCCTTGGCAAAGCCCTTGGGAATACTTTAATTTATCGCTGAATGTTTCCTCTTTCCCCTTAATGTTCTTTCCCTCTGTTGCTTCATCCAATTGAAGTTCACACATTCCCGCATTCCACCCCTCATTCTTCTAAACCTCTCTCCACTGAAATTCACTCCCCTCCTTTCATCCCTTTCTCTTTTTAATTTTACTCAGTAACAGTGTTCCCTGAAAGGTAGGCACTTGGGTGGCTACCCAGGAGAGATTCAAATGCCACCAGCTGATTAGCGAAGTGCCCACAGCTGGCAGCATGTGTTTCTCCTGGTGGTGCACATCCACACATGCCATGGTGCACATAACATTTATTCCACACATGAATGGAAAAAAATTAGAGGGAACATTGTGTAGCAACCTAAACTATTGCATGCACATGTCCATTTTCAGTCACACCCCTCATAAACAAGCTGCTGTCTTCAAAACAGGAGATCTGGGCTTTAGCCAAGCCCAGTGCCTGGTGCTCAGACTCTGCTCCCCGGGAATGCCAGGGGCTGCTGGCAGAAGGGGTGGGGAGAGCCCCAACTTGATCCATCACAGGGCTCCACAAAACCCTAATCTGCCCCTGTGCATAGAAACATAGGACACAGTTCTGGAAGGGTCACTGAGAGCAGACCCCTGCTGCTGCAAGCAACCTGTAACCCCGACTATGACAGGCCATCCCTGCAATAGGATACCCACAGAGTTAGAAGACAGGCAGATACATGAGTACACACTAATAGGTTTTTCCTTTTAAATTTTGTTTGGGGCCAGGATGGGGTGGTTCTCCTGCCCAGTGTCACTTAGGCCTGTCACTACAACTAGACCCAAGTAAAGGGTAGTTTAGGGTTTTAACATGTTTATGCGATAAGAACTAGATCCCATTGATGAGCCAATGTTTCGGGAAAAGCCATGTAATGCACAGGCCCCTGACTCAACTGCGATTTTTGCATTTTGCTTGTCATTAAATACTGGCAGAGACTTGTAGACAGAAGTTGCTAAATGTAATAATTTTTAGTCTCACTCTCAGGCGCTGGCAGATAGGGACTGGCAAAACTTCCTCGGAGACAGGAGAGTTATGAGAGCTACCCAGGACAGAAGAGAATTCCCAGAGGATTTTGAATCCGCTTTGACTAGCTCCGTTTTTGCCCATGCGTGTAGCCGATGTCATTTCCCCATTAATCGAAAGTTCTGGCAGTAATTTTTCCATTACAAAAGTCCCCTTAAGACACTTCTAAGTGCAATCAGGCAATTTTGTGAACTCATTTTTGCAGAATCTTTTACTGTTCATAGTGTTCTGATGCCTCTCTGACACCACGGCACCTCTATGCGTATGAAGGATGCTATTCGTGCTTATAGTACCAAAGCAATAATTTTACACAAGGCTGCTCCCTCGGAAACCCAGGTTAACATTCCTTTTTACTTCATTGAGGGTAGGATGAATTGCTGTTATCCACCATTATCCACTGGAATTGCATTATAAATTAACTGGATGCCCATTCTCTGGCCAACATTAAAAACAGATCGTCTCCCGCTATTTCCAATATTGAAGGGCAAAATTCTGTGTGTGGGAGAGCAGTGAACTCAACAGGACCCCCCATGTGATGCTGACAGCAAGATTTAGCCTTCTCTTCTCTTGTCTTTTTTGTGTAGCGGTCGGATGGAAACATTTCTCAACGACTGCTCTGTGACATTGAAGCTACTTTCCTTATTAAGGCTGCATCAGCAGCTCTATCAATGCACTCTCCCTGATCCAAACCCCACAGAAGTTAGTGGGAAGAGTCTCAATGATTTCAGTGGGCTCTGGATCAGGACCTAAGGTACCAATACTGCATGCCATTTCCTACTGTCCTTTGGGATCCTGTGGGCTCCAAGCTGTGATGTGGAGGAGGAGAGGAGGAAGGGGAGGAGAAGAAGAAGAAGAATAGGAGGAGGAAATGAAGGAGGAGGAAGGGGAGAAGAAGAAGGAAAAGGAGGAGGAAGTGGAGGAGAAGGAAGAGGAGAAGAAGGAGGAAGACGAGGAGATGAAGAAGAAGAAAAGGAGGAGGAAATTAAGGAGGAGGAAGGGGAGAAGAAGAAGGAAAAGGAGGAGGAAGTGGAGGAGAAGGAAGAGGAGAAGAAGGAGGAAGACGAGGAGATGAAGAAGAAGAAAAGGAGGAGGAAATTAAGGAGGAGGAAGGGGAGAAGAAGAAGGAAAAGGAGGAGGAAGTGGAGGAGAAGGAAGAGGAGAAGAAGGAGGAAGACGAGGAGATGAAGAAGAAGAAAAGGAGGAGGAAGTGAAGGAGGACACTGATTACACTCACTTGTAACAGACCCATTCATTAACATGATGTCTGGCCACATTCTACAAGAGATATGAGGAGACACAGCTAGTGGCCCGACCACCACGGGGCTGCATATCTTGTGGTTTCTGAAGGTGGCCAATCTAAGACTCGGACATATTCCAAACAGGGGGGACTTTCAAAGGCAATGACCCACCAATAAGAATCTTGACCATGAACTCCCTCCTCACTGCATCAATAGACTATGGGTTTGTCTACACTACTATTTAAGTTGATATAAGTTACATCACTCAGAGGTGTCAAAAAGCCACCCCCCTCCCCGAGCGATATAAGTTACACTGACTTAAAGTGGAGTCCACACCACACTCATCAAGGATGTAGCCTGGCTCTGAAGACAAGTCCTAAGTGAGTGCTCGGCCTGTAATGTGGCCCTAACCCACACATTCCCCAATCATTGTTAGTTTTACCCATCTCCCTCAAATGAGTTTATCTAGAACAAACCAAACAATTGCAGGAGAGAGATTTTCCATAGTGATACAACCTACCTTTGTGCTGTCCAATGAGTCTTTGTGTACAAACGCCTGCACAAATTCTTCAGGCCCAATGTGACTCAGCCTTTCCTTTTGGGAGATGGAGAAAAAGAGAGAGAGAGAGAGAGAGAGAGAGAGAGAGAGACCAGAATCTCTTATTATTGGCTTTGCAAGACTTTAGCGTGACTATCCACGTTTTGGCCTCAGGTTGAAATGGGGCTTTAATGAAGTGCTAGGCAGCCAACTTGTTCCCCACTTCAACTTTCATAAAAACAATCAATGTTACTGCAACAGAACCAGGGAGTGATAATCAGGGGAGAATAAAAACATCTTACTAGTTGCAGCCAACAGAATAGAACTAGCTTGTGGCGATGATAACCACACAGAAGACCTATCAGTGGCACTCACAACAGAGGGCTCGTGGGCTAGTGGAGAAGGCACTGGGTTGGCAATCAGCAGACCTGGGTGCTGTTCCTGCCTTATCTGCTGGGTAATAAGCTAAATAGGGTCACAGAGCATGTTGCTTTGGCCCTGCCTACTATTGCTATTGCTGAAGGGGACCAGAGATAACCTTGCTCCCCTTGCAAACATCCTGGAGAGCAGCATTTCAGTGTTGTAAGTAATATATAATTGACACCTGCTTGCACATAGGATACTAGTTAGGTCCCCTCTCCCCCGCTCCCCACCCTTCTCCCCCCACCCCCGAGTCAGGCCCCTCCTGGCACAAGCTCAAAGGGAGCAGGAAGTAATGTTTCCTGAAAGGTTTGCTTGGCATAAGCTCTCCACACCTGGGCTACATCTACACTGCAGGCTTTTTTGCGCAAGAAGTTTTTGCAGAAGAGATCTTCCGCAAAAAGTTCTTGTGCGAGAGAGCGTCCACACTGCCATGGACGCTCTTGTGCAAGAAAGCTCCCCCTCCTGGCACAAGCTCAAAGGGAGCAGGAAGTAATGTTTCCTGAAAGGTTTGCTTGGCATAAGCTCTCCACACCTGGGCTACATCTACACTGCAGGCTTTTTTGCGCAAGAAGTTTTTGCAGAAGAGATCTTCCGCAAAAAGTTCTTGTGCGAGAGAGCGTCCACACTGCCATGGACGCTCTTGTGCAAGAAAGCTCTGATGGCCATTCTGCAAATGGCCATCAGAGCACCTGTGCTTTTTCTGATAGGGGTTTCTTGCGGAAGAAACCCCAACCCCTGTTCACACATGCTTTTTTGCACAAGAGTTCTTGCACTAAAAGGCTTATTCCTCGTAGAAAGAGGAATAACTCTTGCGCAAAAAGCCCTCTCTTCTGACAATCTACTGTACTTTTTCTTGCACAAAAACGCGCTTGTAGTGTGGACACTCAATGAGTTTTTGCACAAAACCGGCTGTTTTTGTGCAAAAACTCTTCAGTGTAAACAGAGCCTCGGTCGAAATGAGACATTTTGGAAAACAATGATCATGGGCACTGGTGAGCTCTGCTGCTCGACAGCTAATAAAGCTTTCTCCTTCTATGCCAGAGAGAGCTACTGTTTCCTCTAGGACTCAATGTCTGTCAATACATTTCAGGTGGATTTAGAAACTATGAAGTAAGAGGTGATATTTCACAGGGATTGCATCACACTTCATTATACCATGGCTGGCTGCTACCCGAGCCTGTTTCTTAATGAACGGAGCCCTATGGGCCAAGTTCTGAGCTTGGCTTCATTCATGTGACTCCCTTTGACTTACACATGTCCAAGGTCACACGTTCGCCAATATACAGAAGTAGGATAGAACATTAGTTCTATCAGCTACCTCTTGGTATTAGCAAAAGGGGAGAGTGTCATGGTGGCCTAATGGATAAAGCACTAGATTGGGTCTCCAGTGACCTTGGTTTTATTCCCAGCTCTTGTGTGACCTTGGATAAGTCACTTTTGCTGTGCCTCAGTTTCCCCATCTGTAAAATGGAGACAATGGTACTGACCCTCCTTTAGAAAGCTCTCTGAGATCCATTGATTGAAAAACTTCCTAAAAGAGTGCGGCATCCAGGCTGGAACAGAACAGCCCGTGTCATGAACTTGGCGTCAAGCTTTACATGGTTAAACAAACAACTTAAAATCTGGCTGTTGGTGCCTTTAATTATCAAACAAACATACAAAAGGTAACTGCTTAGTTGCAGTGTGTTTTGCAAAGACCCTGACCTGGCCACTGAAGTGTGGACGAGTACACAGGCACCTTGCTCCTATCTCAGCCTCAGGTAGCACTACCCTTCAAAGAAAATAGGCAAGCCTTCTTAACTGGCCTGCTAGCTCCTGATTGGTCACGGTCTCTCTTGGACCTTCTAGGTCTCTGGAAGACTAAATCTTTTTGGTAACCTGGCCTGAGCAGAGGTGTACAGACACTTGGTAACCTGGCCTGAGCAGAGGTGTATCGGTGTACAGACATCTCCAGCAGGGGGCAGAGTAGCTCTGGTAGGCCCTTCCATAAAAAGCCAGCTATTATTATTCCATTGGGTTACTCTATAATATATTATGGGGGTAGTGTAGACATACCCTAATATAATACGGGTGTCATTTTCAAATTTCAAGGAGGCATTAATTAGGCACCGAAGAATCACTGACTTTCATTTGGAGTTCAGCTCCTGACTCCCTCAGGCATTTTTGAAATAGTGATAACTAATTACTGGGGGATAGGGGGGATAAACTGATCATTAATGGCACCTTATGAACCTAGGCTCAATCTTGAAATCCTCCCTCAAGCAACTGCAAAGTCAATGTGCATTTTGCCCTGCATAAAGACTTCAGGGCTGGGCCTATTAGCAGATTCCATGGCATTTCTCTTTGCTCCTCATACGGAAATGCAAGAGGATGGTGTTGCTCAGATTGCTGAAGAATAAATCACCATCCTAATGAATTGCAGAGTAATTACCACAGCTGGCGTAAGAACGCAGGAGCAGATAGAGTGGAACTCTGTTTACAGTGAAGCGGAATGAAAACTGCGGATTGTTTCAGTGCATTATAATTTGTGCACCACAGCCCAATTACTGGGGATCCCATCTTAGAGTCAAGTTGTTCGTGGGGGAGGGAGGAGAGAATCCTGCCACGCAAAAGCCTTCTGCAGCTACAGAAAGCTAAGAGGGCCAAGTCACATATCCACATAGTTGGTGGATCCTATAGATCGGGGTGGGCAATAACCAGACTTAGTTTGCCAGGGTTATTTATCTGCCCATTTGTAGGCATGGTCACTCGCAGCTCCCATAGGCTGGGAATGCTGTTCCCAGCCACTGGGAACTGCAGGAAGTGGCATGGGCTGGACTTCCACTTCCTGTAGCTCCCATTGGCTGAGAACGATGAGCCGCGGCCAATGGGAGCTGTGAGCAGCCATACCTGTGGATGCGCAGGTAAATAAAGCATCTAGCGGTCCCCTAGGGACTAACCCTGGTGAACTGTGTCCGGCTCATGGGCCGCTTATTGCTCACCCCTGCAATAGATGGATCCTATAATTCATGGGTATCCGAGAGAGACCTCTTTGAGGAGAGGAATATGGCCAACTACGGGATTATTAAGCTTTCTAGTTCCATAATATTCTCTCCAAACTTTCATCCCCACACAGGATCACATTTTTTAAAGTTGTTTTCTATTCAAAAAATAGGTCAGGGGGTGAACGGTGCCCACCTCAACATGAGCAATGGGGAAGCTTCCAGATATCAAGAAGCTTGAGGATAAATGCAGCGACGTGGAGCAAAAGTGAGGTTATGGTGTACTACCATATAAACCTGTGCTGTGGGGAGGCAGGAAATCTATGGAAGAAAAAGCCAGGGCCTATCCTTACCCATATGCAGAATAGGCAGCTGCATAGGGCACCCGAAAATGTGGGGCACCACTGGGTGTTAACATCCACTCACCCACCTCTTCCTATCCCTGTTCTGTGGCTCTGCTCCCTCAAGAGAGGAGCTAGTTTAACTCACAAGTGAAAAAAGCCTGTGAAAGAGCCAGTCACGTGGTAATGAAGCCATTTAACAGACATTTGCCAACCCCAGGTACATACTGTCAGTTTCTGAATTTACTGTGTGAGTCTACAGGAGCTTAGTTTAAAATTTGCTTTAAAATTATTTTGTGCATGTGCTGCTGAAGATGATAAAATCACATCTCTAAAAATCATCCTCGTCAGGCATAGGGACACTAGTTTCATAGTACTGGGTAGGGCCATAAATCTTTGTATCACCTGACTTCCTGGAAGAAACTGTCCCTCCCTGCCAGAAGAGGGAGCAACAATCCCCAATAGCCTGCTGTGGCGCAGATTGAGTGGGGAGGAGGGAGATGGTACAACTGGGTGGGTGCACAGGTACCAGCAGAAGTCTCAAAAGCCGAGGTCTATGAAAGTGAGAAAGGAAAAACCCCGACAAACGGAGATGCTTGTGTATCAGAGAACGGGGTTCAAGCAATAGTGAGAAAGGAAAAACCCCGACAAACGGAGATGCCTGCGTATCAGAGAACGGGGTTCGAGCAACGCAAACGCTTCCATCTCGCACCAAATTGGGATAACAAGAGCTCAGCCACTCCACAAGCGCCTTCCATTCCAGGGACTCAACGCACTTGGCAAGTGGGAGCGAACGTCACTGTGAAGCAGGGAGAAATGGTCGCCCTCTTTTCACAGATGAGCACACTGAGGTGGAGCACACTGAACTGTGTGACTTGTGCCCAGTTACAGGACAGAGCAGTGGCACATACTAGGGATGTGTGATCCCGGTTAACTGGTTCAACATAATGTTTTACTAGTTAACCAATTAAAAGGGGAGTGGGCAGGGAGCTGGTCCAGCCTGTCTGGGCTGGAGTGCCCGTGCCCGCCCCTACCCCCCACCCCACCACGGTCAGATTAGAGTGGCTCCCTCACCACAGGCAGGGTCTGCTTCAGCCAGGCTGAAGCAGCCCCTTCCTGTGGCCTCCCCAGGCTCACTGTAGACAGGGACTGCTCCAACCTGGCTGCAGCAGCCTCTGCCTGCAGCCCTCCTGGGCCCACTGTGGACAGGGGATGCTCTAGGCAGGCGGGGGGGGGCTTGCCATATGCTTTCACCAAAAATCCCGAACATGACAGGAAAAAAACTTGGTTGAGCAAAAAAAAAACAACAACAAAAACAAACAAACCAAAAAAAACCCCCAGGAGACTAAACTTGTTGAACCGGAGAACAAAAAAAAAAAGGTCACTGCGCCTTTAAGAATCTCCATACTCCTCCCGCCCCCACCAAACACGGCAGGGGAGCCATATGCTTTCACCAAAAATCCCGAACATGACAGGAAAAAAACTTGGTTGAGCAAAAAAAAAACAACAACAAAAACAAACAAACCAAAAAAAACCCCCAGGAGACTAAACTTGTTGAACCGGAGAACAAAAAAAAAAAGGTCACTGCGCCTTTAAGAATCTCCATACTCCTCCCGCCCCCACCAAACACGGCAGGGGAAGAATGTCCCCGCCGGCCTTCCGTCCAAGAAAAACAGAAAATACTGGACATTTTACATGTTTTTTTTTTTTAAACCATCAAAGGACCACAAATAACGGATTGTCTGGGCGAAAACCGGACACCTGGCAACCCTACCTGTTTGGGTGAGCCCAATGGGGCTGGAAGACCCCCCTACCCATGGTGGATGGGGAGCTGCTCCAGCCCCCATTGATTAACCAGAACCAGGTTAAGGGCAGTGCTTACCGGTTAACCTTTCACATCCCTAGCACCTACCCTGCTCTAATCCACTAACCATGCTTCCTCCTGCAGTAGGATACTGTGCTAACTAAGCTGCAGCAGCATCTGCATTTCACTTGGGTTTCGACTGCGGCCGGGCTTTCAAATGCCACCTTTGACGCTGCACTTACCAATTCCACATGGGTTAGTTGCTGAGCCAGAGTGTAGGGGTCACTACAGACGGTCAGGATTTCCCTCTGAATGGATGGCGGTTTACTTTTAAAGGCAACCAGCTTGTCAGAAACAGCAGCATTGATCTTGACTATTCCTTCCTGCCCATGGCCAAGGGTTGCTAGCTTCTGATTCAGGGCTTGCAAAAGCTGATTCATCCTTTTCCAGTAGGCCTGGAGAGAGAAAAACAAAACCAAACAAAAACAAAGGACGTAAACACACAAAAACCGCAGGTCTTGACAATGGTGCATTTTAAATAAATTTTTCCTACCCCAAAATATCCCCAGACCAGCACAAGATTACCACCTGATTTTCACCAGGACTATTTCAGAATGTCCAGTTGACTTAATTATAGGTCTGCTCGCCAGCTCTGCACCACGGAATCAGCCTCCAGTCAGGTATGCAAGCAAGCTGTGCTCCTTCATGCCAGGCCAAGCCATAGACCAACACCATGGTAGACTGGCCAGCAATGACAATGAAAGGATCAGGAAAGAGAGGTGGAGCCCATAAAGTGAGTTGCTCCAGATTTTGACGAATTGTAATGAAATGAATAAGCAGCAGGTTTAAAATGAACAAAAGGAAGTATTTCTTCATACAACGCAGTCAACCCATGGAACTCCTTGCCAGAGGATGTTGTGAAGGCCAAGGGTATAAGAGGGTTAAAAAAAGAACTATATGTTGAACCTCTCTAGTCTGGCACCCTTGCGACCTGACTGGTGCCAAACTAGAGAATTTGATGAACCACAGGAGGTCAATATTGTCTAGCAGCATTAACAACACGTCCACTGCTTGCTGGGCTCTTAGAAGACATTTAGAAGTAAATTAGAGCTAAAAAATAGCACAGAACACTGACAGACAGGAGTGGTGGCTGTCAACAAACTTTGTGGGACTGCGGGAAACTTGGCCACACCCACGATAAGTGGCTCATTAAAATTATGCCAAGGCTGAGCAGTCCCTGCCCATGGCAGGTTTGGCCCAGCCTGGCTAGAGAAGCCTGCAGCATGGTGGGCCCAGCTAAGCTGGAGTAACCCCGGGCAGGGGGATGCTCCAGCCCAGATAGGTCCCCTGCCCACAGGATCCTAGTTAAACAGTTAACTGGTTAAGCATAATGTTCAACCAGTTAACTGATCAAATATTCCTAGGCAGCCAATGCTGATGTCAGATGTGACGCTACACATCCTACAGCAACCCAGAGCCACTGCAGGGCATGAAAGAGGGGCTGGAATGCTCTAGCAACCCGCCTATGACTGACCAATGCAAATGTGGTCAACCTGAAACCATGGGAAATGGGACAATGGCTTCTCTGGACAAAAAATGTCATGGAATAAAGCCAGGTCAGAATCAATGGGAACATTTCAGAGCAAGGTGTGTAAAGGGTGAAAGTCCCTGGGAGTCACACAAAGCTCCTCCCTCCCCTGTATCCAGACGCAGGGCAATGCTCCATGTGCTCACCTTGCTGTTTTTTTTCAGCCTCAGTTCTACGGGCACTCACCCTTTACTGATGGCAGCACATCCACCAGCCGTGTGGGCAGGTCACTACTCAGTTCCACACACCCTGGGCACTTGGAGCATGGTTTGCAGGCTGGCTTATTAGCAACCATACATCACAGCCCATCCTAATGTGCCACAGAGGGATACGGTATTCACCTGGCTGCTCGGAAGGAGGAGAACCCCCTAACACTTTATCCAAATGGAGAGCATTGAGCCTACCTCTGTTTGGTGTGTAGCTCTCTCCATGGCTAAACTAGGTAAAGCAGGTTGAAGCTGCAATAGCCTCTGAGCTCGGCTCCTTTACTTTTACTGCTGAAACCATAAATTTCTAGACAGGCCTTTGGTTCAATTCTGCAGATGAGTCACAGCTTCCTCACAGCATTACACTGTAACGGCAGGCAAACCTCCCAAGCAGGTTCTATGAATACCCAAGGCAGGGGTTTCCTCTTGGCAGAGACCATCAGTGCTAGTGTTGCTGGCACTCACATTTCAAATGGGCAATACACCAGGGGCCAGGCCCAGCTCCCTCCTCAGCTATCTAGCACGTGTGGTCCACGTACTGCAACCCAACTTCTCTCTTTACTTCAAAGAATAAAATGCTCACACCCACTCTTGTTTCACCATAGTTAGGGTGAGAGGCTGCAAATCCTCAGAACACGGAGAATGCTTCAACACCTGCCATTAGACTTTCATTAGTCCCTGGCAGGTAACTGCTTTTCGAACAGAAGGAATGAGATCTCGAGTTTGCTCATTCTACCCGTGCGAGTAGCCTGCCTCACATGAATAGAATCAGGCAAGCACAATTTGTCTTTACTATTCCTTAATCGGTAGCTGATAAGCCCACTATACCATGAATGCCTACGGAGGTGGCAGGTAAGGCTTAGAAATCTCCAGCCACGCAATCTATTTCGAAATAATCCTGATTAGATATCATTGATTTTCTTTTTGCCTCTGTCTTCATTCTTTCTTTGTTACTAAGGCTACGTCTCTGAAAACAGAACCTTTGTTTCTTCGGATAATGACGAAGATTCTTCTTGCTTTGAGGCAACAGTCCTCACCAGACATCTCTCCCATCCGTCACCCAAGTTCACAGGAGGCACAGCTCTGGTGATCGCGAACTGGGCTGGCTCTGAACCTGTGAAGAGC